TGCACTGAAGGACACAGGGCAATATATAATGGCATAAATCATTACACATAACAGTGAGTTGTATGTACGTAACACAGCGTCAGTTGCATCGCACAACAACTGTGAATACGTAGTAATCAGAATAGCCATTTGCACTGAAGGATACAGGGCAACAACGGCAAAATTCATAACGCAGTGTACAGTGTGTACGTAACACAGCGTCAGTTGCATCGCACGACTGTGAATACGTAGTAATCGGAATAGCCATTTGCACTGAAGGATAAGGAACAGGGCAATATATAATGGCATAAATCATACACATAACAGTGCGTAGTGTGTACGTAACACAGCGTCCATTGCAACGCAACAACTGTGAATACGTAGTAATCAGAATAGCCAGTTGCACTGAAGGGTACAGGGCAATATCGTGGCATAAGCATAACACACACATATCAGTGTACATAAACACAGCGTCAGTGGCATTGCACAACTGTGAATCAGAATAGCCAGTTGCACTGAAGGATACAGGGCAATTTATAGCGGCATGAATCATGAACACATATCAGTGTGTAGAGTGCACGTAAACACAGCGTCATTTCATCGCACAACAACTGTGAATACGTGGTAATCAGAATAGCCATTTGCACTGAAGAAACAGGGCAGCATATAACGGCGCAAATCTTAGCACATATCAGTGTGCAGTGTGAACATAAACACAGCGTCAGTGGTGTAGCGATAACAACTGTGAATACGTGGTTAAATCAGAATGGCCAGTTGCACTTTGGGATACAGTGCAATATATAAGAGCATAACAGTTAAATCATAGCACAAATCAGTGTGCAGTGTGTACATAAACACAGCGTCAGTGGCGTAGCGACAACAACTGTGAATACGTGGTTAAATCAGAATGGCCAGTTGCACTGAGGGATACAGGGCAACATATAAGGGCATAACAGTTAAATCATAGCACATATCAGTGTGCAGTGTGTACATAAACACATCGTCAGTGGCGTAGCGACAACAACTGTGAATACGTGGTTAATAGAATGGCCAGTTGCACTGAGGGATACAGGGCAATCAGTGTTGGGGAAGCTACTTTGAAACTGTAGTTTGACAAGCTACAAGCTACTCGTTAGTTAAAGTAGTTAAACTACAGTCAAGCTACCCTTTTGGAAAAGTAGTTAGCTACACTACAAGTTACGATCAAAAAGTAGCTAGCTACATTGAAACTACTTGCTTTTTTTGAACAACATTATAAATAACTGAATAAGTGTCTGAGGAATGTTTTAAGTAAAATATTTAGTGTTTAAAACAATGCAATACAATTATGATTTTTATTGTTTTATTACACACAACACTCAAATATCTCAGACTGTTTGTCAAAAGTGCAAAATTGCAACAAATACAACATTGCAAGAACAAAATATACATCCAACGTAATTTGCATGTATAGACTTTTTCTCAAAAATACCAATTGTGACTGTGAGATGGTTGCATTTTGGCAAGAAAATACATTGAACAAGCGCTCACATGTGGCACTGACAATGCACGTTAAACTCGCTCACATGCAGTTATGGAGCTCGAAAGAAGAACCTGAATCACAAGCTGCTTGTGAGCACAGTTCGGTTCGCTCCGGATCCAGTCACAACAAATCTATACAGCAATTTAATTAGATCAAAGCCTTTGTCGTGCGATAAACAAACTAAGATTACATTTTTTGTTCAACGGAAACACGATGGCGCAAACTTTAGTTTATTGGTCTTTTATGTTCATTACCAAACGCGGACAGATCATGGCGGTTCATTGTAATTAAATCAGAAATAGAAATTTGATGTAACATAGAGAGCAATAAAGCAGGATAATTAATACATTTTAAAATGGCCATTAATCACCTGTATGTGCGTCCTTAAATTTGTGCTTGAGGTCTTCTGTACGTCAGTGAACCGTTAGCCGCAAGATGCGTGAATAAACAACAGGTGGCGGTAATGGCAAAACAAATTAGTTTGTAATCTAACAAGAAGAAGAATATCCTTGCATCGCGCTGATTCGCGCAGGCTCAACAAAACACAATGTAGCTTTTGCTCGCGCTACACCGCTACTTGCTGCAAAAGTAGTTAGCTACTGGAAAAACAACACTGTTTAAAAAGCAACTGAGCTACTGCCAAGCTACTGAAAAATGTAGTTAAGTTAGTAGCGTCGCTACTTGTAGTTAACTACTCCCCAACACTGAGGGCAATATATAAGGATATGACAGTTAAACCATAGCACATATCAGTGTGCAGTGTGTACATAAACACAGCGTCAGTGGCATAGCGACAACAACTGTGAATACGTGGTAATCAGAGTAGCCATTCGCACTGAAAGAAACAGGGCAATATATAACGGCACAAATCATAGCACATATCAGTGTGCGGTGTGAACATAAACACAGCGTCAGTGGCGTAGTGACAACAACTGTGGATACGTGGTTAAATCAGAATGGCCAGTTGCACTGAAGGATACAGGGCAGCCTGACGACATAAGCTGTAAGCTGTGCACCTCCATCACCAGAGCGGGGCGTCCTGGCGCGGCGCTCTCCGTGGCCTGTGTCGCCACATTCCCGGTCCCGCCCTCTGCCAACGGTGAAGATCCGGTTTGTTCGGGTTCGAACCGTTTTGGCGGCTGTAGCCGAATTACCCTGCCACATTCCCTGATTGGCCCTTATCAATCATGGCTTCCAAATAATCCCCATCCACTCAATTGGCTCTATATCTCTCCTCTCAACCTATAGCTGGTGTGTTGTGAGCGCACTGGTGCTGTTGTACTGTGGCTGCCGTTCCATCATCCAGTAGATGCTGCACACTGGTGGTGGTATGCATGTATGTATGTAAGTAAATATGTATGTATATGATCTACAGCACATGATGTAATCAAGTCTCATGTTAAGCGCTTTGGTGGCCATTTGGTCTGTGAAAGCGCTATAAATGCAGTCCATTTACCAGTCCATTTGACTTTTTTTGACAATTTGTGATTTCTTTTTTTACAATTTGACAATTTTTTGACAATTTGATAACTTTCCTCATTTTAAAGATTTATAAACATTGTTTAGCTGATTGTGTCTGTAATTTCAATTTACTCATAATCACTCATGAATAACAATAATTTCCACAATTTCTTTGATTAAAACATGTAATTAGATGATTCACAGATCTGTTTCTCTAGTCCCAGACCGCGCTGATGCTCTGCAGGGGGGAAATTACAGCAGGACGTTATGAAATCATTGAATTGTGTCACAGTGTGATAGACTGTTCCAGCAGGCTTACCGCCACGCAATATTTAACAGATGGATGGACTGCTTGACGTGTTAGTGTGTCTTGGATGTGTTTGGCAGAGACAAAACACAGCAGCCATATGCCAAAAGTTATTTAAGTCATTCTCTCAGATTCAAATAAACACCCTGCAGGAGAGAGGAACGTGCTCATATTTTAATGGCAGACTTTATGGAGAATGCTCTGAAATAATTTGTAATTCAGAAAAAGTGCACTCAGTGTAAAGTTCCACTGTAACTTATTTTTTCCACGTGCAAGTTGTAACTTTAATATGCAAATGTCAAGGGGTCACGGTTTGGCACAGTAACAGTTAGCCCCTGCTGGTAAATGTCTTAACTACACCATCTGGCTGCAAAAAGCATCTTATTCCATTTCAAAGTACCATTTTGCATCATTTACATTGACTTATGGTTTTTGTTTTTGTTTGTTTGTTTTTGATCAAATAAATCACAAATATTTCATTATACTATGGTGGTAATTTTTTATTATAATTATTAATATTAAAATACATAATTCATACAAATATTTATCATTATTGCTATTTTCTTATTTGAGGGCTTTTGAAGTGTGAAATTTGTCACTTTTTTGCTACTTTTTCCATGTTTTGTTGAGGTCATTACAAATCTTGGTTTTGCATAAATGCCTTGACATTTGATATCCTTTTCATGGAGTTCCTTTTCTCAGAATGACTAAAATATGTTATTTTTTTTATTTTGTTATTCCATGCAATTTGTTCAAGTTTCTTTCTCAGTTGTTTTAAATTACAGTTGCAAACTAAATCATTATTTTTGCTTCAACTAAGACTTGATGTACTTCAGCTAAGACTTGATTCATGTAAAATACCATGAAGTTTTTAAAAACGGCATGAGTTGCATTAAAAGCATAGCTTTTCATCAATCTAAATCCAGTGAATATGATGACTACATACTCTCTAGGCAAGATATTTTTTAATCTGATTAATGCAGTCAGATTTATGGCAATAAATATTCTATATAATTAATTATTTAAAATATGCTTTAATTTAATTCGAATCAAGATGCCAAGTTTGGATCAAAGCCCAGATTGACATAGGAACATGCTGGTCCTCTGTGAACAGCTCTTTAGGCTTCTCTGTAAATGTAGCTAGTGGTTATGGCCTGTGATGTGTGAACTGTCTTTCACAAAATAATTCTGCAGTCACAGCATTTTTCTTTCAGCCTGCAGGGACATTAAGCGCTAATGTTCCAACTAACTATCTAAAGACTAAAACATTCGACTTGGGAATGGGTGTCTTCCTGATTTCCACTGTGAAGAAAGAAGGAACTTCTGCTTATAGTACATCGCCAGATATATTTATCCAGTCAAACTTGGCTGAAAATAGTATTTTCTCCTTTTATGATTGCAAATGAATGTTCAGCACTTATGTTGGCCTCTGCTCTCAGGTAAATCCAGGGTTGCTCTTCCTTTTGTCTATTTGATATTAGCTCATGCTAGTGCTATAGCCTTTAAGATTTTTGCTTTTGATTCATTATAGTAATAAAATGACCGAAGGACACAGACATTTTGTCAAACAAAGGCAAGATGTCTTATCTTAGTTTATGAAGGAACATTTTTCCCTGATGCATCTCTCTGGAATGAATGCCTCTGTGTCAGTTGAAGATGCTTTGAGCCTGAAATTCCAAATACACATCAGAAACACAGTTGACAAACAGTAATTGTCAAATAAATACATATTGGATTTTAATTATTAAGGTAGGCTACTCAAAATGCCGTAGTATAATCTATTTGAGGATAATATTAAAATGGACTGAAACTGATACAATGAGAATTAATCATTTTAATAATGCATACTAAACACACTGCCAATAAGACATCAAGCACAAATAAAACAACAGACAAACAAACCGCATTTCAAAGGCTTTGAGAGATGTCAGTTGTGTTTTTTACACAGGCACTTTGTGGTTCTGTGTCCTCCCTCCAGCAGGGGGCAGCAGCAGCGTTCATGTACCCTCACCTGGGCATGTATTCCTGTGGTAGGCCGCTGATGCTTCTGTCTCTGAGAGCTTTATCTACAGTGTGGATGTATTCATCTATACGAGCTCTCATCTCAGGGGTGAAGGGGTCAAAAGTCAGGCTACGAGATCCAGAGCGTTTGAAAAGGCCGTCTCTGTTGCTCTCCGTGCAGAGGAGTCTTTCCTCGGGAATGCTGATGTTCAGGAAAGCACTGATAGTCTTTAACTGAGGGACTAGATCTTTCTGAAGATTTTCAAAGTGTACCACCAGCAGGCGGTGGGCAAATCGCAACCAGGCCAGAGCGTGAGACACCCACCAGGTCGAATAGCTGTCCACAAACTCAGACCACTCTGTGAACAAAACAAAACAAAAAACAGCATTATAGTAAAATTAACTAGCATCTCCCACATGCTTAAACCTAGGACTGTATTTGGGATAAAAATCGAATTGTGATTTAAAATGAAATTCCAGGTTGGCTGTCCTTGTTTGTAGGGCTGCACAATTTGTGATAAATGTATATTATATCAATATGACTATAATATAATAACAATAATATGAATCCATTATTATTATTATTATTATTATCATTATTACTAATTGAAAACATAAACATTAAATTCAAAATGTAAAATAAAAAATATGAGCATTTAAAGCTGCAGTCCGTAGTTTCGCCATCTCTGTTCGAAATCTGCAATTGCAGTTATACGCGGAATTATCAACTTTACGTGGGTTGTGCCTCGGCACGGCACAGCGCAGATGAATCCAATGTTTTGAGGAGTGTGTGTGGCTGTCAGTCACCGCACCAGTGTGGATACTGGCATTCGGAATCACAGATTATACTTTTTGGATGCATGAGCAACATAAGAATTTTCACCGGAAAATGTCATCTGAACTAGTAACATCCACTGTTGTTCTGACAAACTAAGGGGAAAAAGCATTGCAGTAAATCACGCTGATTAAATCTAACGATCGCTTATCATATCACGTCAAACCGTGCAAAAAAATACTTTGTTCTCAAATTGTAAATGTTAAAGGTATAGCGGAGGATTTTCTTTTTCCGGGTGGGTAGCCTATACTATTGGTCCACCTAAGTGTCAATCATTCTGGTGATATGTTTACGTAAGGCGGTCGTACGTGCTCGTCCCTATGTAGTTTTCGCTTTCTGCGCATGCGCACTTTCAGGTTTATTATGTGTGATGAGTTACGGTTTCAGCCAATCCTTTGAAAATGGCTGAGGGTCGAAAGAGAAAAAATGTATACGAAGTGTATGATAAGAAGAGATTTTGGGTGAATATTTCACACGCTGGCGTGCGCTAAAAGCACAGGTTGGGCTTCCCACTGATGCCGCAGTCGCGAAAATTCTACTAGACAGGTAAAGTTTGTTATGCTATTTGGAGAAATCCATTTAAAATCACTGCTAGTAAAAGTTTCATAGGCGTTCCCTCTCGGGAGCAAATAGAGTGTTGCGCATGTGCATTTTTAAAAAAATTGGAGAGGGCGGGTCTTCTCTAAAATTCGGAAAGATCCTCCGCTATACCTTTAACAACATCAGCATTGCGTGACTACATTTGATGCCCTTCTGATATTATCCTTGTTTTCTCATGGGTCCAGTTGCGGTCTCTTTTTTTCTGTAGCCACTCCGAAGTCCGAAGACTTTTGCATTTTACAGCGGGTGAATCTGTTGTCACTGGTGATTGTTGTTTGAACCTTTCTGAATCCACCATCAAATTGATAAGTTTAATTATATCAAGTGCTGTGAGAAAAGGCTATAAATCTCCCCCTCCAGCATCCTCACATGCAATATAGCCTACAAGCCGAGACTCCTCCTTTATGTGTACAGATGTGACGTAATGACTCAATATAGCCTACTAGCCGAGACTCCTTCTTCATGTGTACAGATGTGACGTAATGACTCAATATAGCCTACAAGCCGAGACTCCTTCTTTATGTGTACAGATGTGACGTAATGACTCAATATAGCCTACTAGCCGAGACTCCTTCTTCATGTGTACAGATGTGACGTAATGACGCAAAGACATGCTTGAATCTCCCGCGGAAATCCACCAGTACCACTGGAATTAAAAACATTATTACAAGCTTACCGTTTTGAATCGAGCTACGGCAAGCAGATAGTTTTGAACCATGGCTGGTTATGTACTTGCTCAAATTTATTTTGGATAATTTTTAATCCAAAAAAGTTACGAACTGCAGTTTTAAGAACAAAATGAAATATGAAGTCTTCTGAAGAGACACGATTGCTTTATATGATGAACAGATTTAGGCTTTTATTCACATATAAACATTGATCAGTGAACGTAGAGCACTCAAATTTGGTAAACGTTTTGGCCCCCTTTGAAGTTTGCTGAGGCCCCCTAGTGGGCCCCGGGCCCCTGGTTGAGAACCACTGCTCTAAAGGGTCTGAACATACTGTAAGACTGAAACGAATGCTGTTTCTATCATTAGCACCTTTGCTCCTCCAGTGAACGTCCGATGCGTAGCCCAGGTGTCCGGCACACTTGCGGTTGAACTCCGCTATTAGAGAACGATAGGGGTTTCGCATCAGCAGGATGGCAGAGTTGAACATTTCGATCTCTCGCTGGCCGCTTTCATGAGTCTTGATGCAGATGACTCTCCCGCTCTGCCAGTAATCCTTCTCTCCTTTAAAGCCTACAAAGATGCAGAAATCTGAGAAGCGCGAGTCTGCATTTGCTTTTCAATTAATCTCATTCTTGCTAGTCTAGGACAAACAATTGAGATGTTTAAGAGGTGTCAGTGTTGATTTTCTTTCTTGTGGGGCAATATCTAAAAGTGTTTGTGTTTCTGATGAGTTCATGTTCCCACTCCAACAGAATCCTAATAAATCTCACGGCTGAAAGGGATGAGGGTTTAAGTGTTATTAGTGGACTCTCACCTTTGTTGTACAGAGATCCGTCAAAGTAATAGCTTCCGGTGTAGAATCCAGTAGCGAGTTCAATCAGGTGACGTAACCAGGTGTTTCCTGCCCCTGGGAAGCTGGACAGGGCCACGAGGGTCCTGGACTTCTGGGGCAGAAATGTCCTTTCTTTGCATGTTGCATCTGAAAGAAAAGATATTTTCTTTTGCAGCAGTAGTTCTTGAAGTTTAAGTTAAATGTTGTAGCATGTTGTAGGTTACCTAACACAGGAGTACTGTACACCCAGTAGTAGTCCTGTTCATAAGGGGAAGTGTGGTTTGTTTTGTTGCCCCTCTCACACATGCGTTCCTGTTCACTCATCTGGATTGTGAAGAGAAATGGGGCATGGCTGCAGAAACAGTGCTGACCTCTCAAAAGGGCCAATGGCAGGTCCTGCGAGTTCACACACAATTTACAGGAGTCAGATAAAGCTCTGAATAAACAAACCATGTCATGTGTAACGAGTGATGGGCAGCTAAATTATTGTAAACTAGAGCTGCACAATTAATCGTTAAAAGATTGCGATCTCGATTCAAACACCATCTTATTCCTAAATGACAACGATTCGGCTGTCTATTAAATCTTTGACTAGTAAGATCACAGCGAACATTCAAATCTGCATTGGCATAAAACAGTTTCACAGTCTTTTCAACCATTAGTATCATTATTTCTGTTACAATACTGGGATAAACGTTTGTTTCGGATATAAACACTGATGACTACAGAAGTGATCAAAATACAGCATATCACCTTTTTAAAGAAACTTTGGTAACACTTTACTTGAAGGGGTGTGCATAAGACTGACATGACACCTTCATAATCATGACATGACACATGTCATGAATATGAAGGAGGTTTTATGCATGTTTATGACAACTGTCATTAAGTGTCATTCGCTCAATTATGACATTTTTAATACAAATATGACATTTGAGATGTCTTTGTTATGACACCTTGACATAAACTAATACATCATAACCTGTCAGTGTCTTTGTCATGACAACTTGACATAACCAAGACAACATAAATTGTCATAAATGTGTCATAAACATGACATAGTAGATTAATGATCAAACTTAAGAAACCACTTAGCTTTATGGGTTAACATTACATTAAACTGTCATGTGGTTGGGTTTTGACATTGGCTGTCGTGAGGCCATTATAACTGTGTCATGAATATTTTTCTTGACCTCAACTACAGTGGTACAAATTGAATTTGTCATTAAAATGTTATAATGGGCTCATGACAGCCAATGTCAAAACCAACCACATGACAGTTTAAAGTAATGTTAACCCATAAAGCTAAGTCTTATGTTTGAAACATTTTTCTGCTATGTCATGTTTATGACATATTTATGACAGGTTGTGTTGTCTTAGTAATGTCAAGTTGTCATGACAAAGACACTGACAGGTTATGATGTATAGGTTTATGTCAAGGTGTCATAACCAAGCCATCTCAAACGATGTCATAATTGAGCAAATAACACTTAATGACAATTGTCATAAACATGCATAAAACCTCCTTCATACTCTTCATAGTCATGATTATGAAGGTGTCATGTCAGTCTTATGCACACCCCTTCAAGTAAAGTGTTACCGAAACTTTACACTTCAAATTAAGATCGTATCAATTACATCATTACAGTAGGTGTCACCAGTAGGTGGCGACAAGTGACTGTCATAAAAAAAATTGTCATAGAATCATTCATTCAAGAGATTTGTCAAAAATGCTGATTCATCCAGTATTGAAACAAGTGAAGTCTTTATGAGCGAGACATTGAATCATTCAAACGGATTAAAAAATATGCAGCAAATAACATTTTGTCACAACCTCTAGTAAATTACTTATTTAGTTTAGTTTTGAATTGTGGGAGAATCGTGATCAAGTGTGTTTGCACACACTTGGCTAATAAAGCTCATTCTGATTCTGATTATATTTTAAACGGGGGAAAAAAAGTCTTGTTTCTCAATTTATCCAGAATAGTGCAGACAAACAGATCTAGATTGAATGAATCAATTAAGCGGGGGTTTAAGGGAGACTTAATTACTATTATTATTATAATGAATAATAATAATAAACTTCACCATCTTCAGTGATTGGCCCCATATAATAATAATGTTTTTTTATTTATTTTTGTATTCTTCTTCTTCTTCTTCTTCTTAATAATAATAAATACACTTTTAATTTGCTCCAAAATGATTCATACGAGCATTTGTGAATTATACCTGATCTGTACAGATCTCGATACACTGCTGAGGAGTGTGTGTCGGCCCAGAGGTCTGGATCAGGAAGTCAGCGATAGAGTTCTTTGGCCTCTTGAAACAGCCGTGGTAGTGCACAGTTCTGTCTGAGAAACATCGGACAGAAAAACAGAAGTCATCTTGGACAAAGCCTCAGGTGACCCTCCCACTGTCCTGTAGCAGATGACGTATGAAGTTACAACAAGAGCAGCCCATACTATCTCCAACCTTCTTTCTGTCTTATCTAGTCATACTCCATCCATGCCCAATTGCCCATTTTAGCACAGGGTTCCAGGCCTTTAAACTAGTTCTTCTCTAATCCATTACTCACAACATATAATAAACATTATTATATATGTGTGTGGCCCATTCAAGCAGAACTGCACTCATGTTTACAGTTTAATACTTCTGCCTAATGCCCGGTACCAGTGTGTTTGCTGCTATGACCTACGTCTACTGACTAGCCAATAAAAATGCAACAGGAAATGGCGTATTGACTTTAAACTACTTTCCTCAAGCTCCATTTACCAAAACTGGCATGCCATGTTGGCCTCTTTTCCCTAGCCATGACTGCGTCCATATTCTCCTCCTTCGCTTTCTCGCACATAAAAACCACAACTGCCAAAGTGTGAATTCATCTTGCTCTATTTGTTTGCCACTAGCGCACACTGATGATGTTCTATTCTTCTATCCTAAATTGTGTCGTAGCATACGATTCAATAGGTGTCATCATTGTACAGTCTACATATACAGTACATGTCATACCCAAGTTTATTAGATCCATGTCGTACAGTGTGATTTGTAATAATCTTATAGGATTGCTGAAATCGCACAGTCTGTAGCAGGCTTTAATGTGACTCACATCTTCTCTGTCCAGGAAGACGATCCTCAACCCTGTAAACAGAAATGCGTTCCACCCCTCCGCAGGGGTATCCCTTCTCTCCCCGGCAATCCAGATTACAGTCCTCTCCCCGAGCCCGGCGGGAACTGACCCGGTTGCCACAATGGCACTCCGCTCCATACTCCAGCCCAGCGTACCGGAACCCACTGCAAAAGAGCAAACCTTCACTTCTGAGGAATTTACATACACATACACATTCTATTCTATTCTATTTTATTCTATTCTATTATATTATATTGTACTCAACCAGTCTTATCTCGTCTTTTCAGTAACACTTTAGAATACGATTTAATTAGTTAACATTAGTTAATCCATTAGGTATGATGAACTAACAATGAATAACATTTTTACAGCATTTATCTATGTTAATGTTAATTTATAAATATGCTTATAATTTATTGTTCATTTGTTCATTCACAATACATTAACTAATGCTATTGCAATGTTAAAAAATACATTAACTGATGCAATTATAAATGTTAAAAATGTATTAGTGAACGTAGAATGTAAACAAAATGAATAAATGCTGTAAAGATTGTGTTCATTATACCTTCACGTTAACTATAGCTAATGATTTCTGAAGGATCAAGAAATAATAGTTGATAAAAATTCAGCTCTGCCATCACAGGAATAAATTACATTTTGAAATGTATTAAAATAGTTTTTAAAAAAGTTTTTTTTTAATTATAATAATATTTCACCATATTAATGTTTTTACTGTATTTTGATCAAATAAATGTAGCCTTGGATGAGCATAAAAGACGTCTTTCAAAAATATTTTTTTCATAATTCTAAACTTTTGACCGGTAATGTGGGACTTCTTGTTCTATCCACCTTATTTAAGCGGTGGTACAGTTGTAAATTTAATGTGCAAGGCTTCAAGTGTCAGCCACTTTGTTATTTATTTGTTGAACAAAAACAGTCATTGTTATTTTAATGTTGCAAACTGATATTTGTTATAATATTATTTTAATTTATTATCATGCTAACAAACAAACTGGTTTGTAGAGAAAATTAGTTTTACCATTTACTGCACTTTGGTATTCTTCTAGTTATTTACCTAAAAAAATTGCCTAAATTCTCGCACATTCACAGGTAATAGCTAACCCCCGCTTTGCTAAGTAAAAAGATCAAAACGTACCTGTTGGCATTTCCTAAATAAAGCATTGTTTTATTTTGAGCAGTGAATATGTTTTTTATATTGACTTTTTGTATTTTAAAATAATGATTTTAGAATGGAATTTCTGTCTTTTTAAATGGTTGAAGCATGTATGTATTTGTAATGCTCTTTCTCTGGATGGACTCCAGGTCAGTCACACCAGCCAGCTCACATTCTGCCCCCTGCTTCTGTGGATAAACACTGAACGCATTCTTCTAAAAGAACAGGGTTTCTTTCATTTATCTTTCATTTTCATCCCTTCAGAGTCTCAGACGTTACCTCTCTGAGCAGGTGTCCTGACACAAGGCGCTGGTCATTTTACGGAGATCATAAAGAACTGTCCCGCCGAGTGCGTGCTCCGTTTCATTGTTTATAAAACATCCAATGTAGGTCCCTTGTCGGAAACAATAAAAAACAAAAGCAATATAAACAGTTTAGAATAATTATAAAAAATCTTACATTTAAGATGGGTAATTCTATTTTATAAACATTACCTTTATGTCTGGCTTCCTTGTGTGACAGATTATGTTTAGAAGATCTTTTCTGTTCAGCATTACCGTGAAACCAGTGGCGTCTCAGATGCCTGGTTTCCAGGTTACGAGATATGAGGTGCTTCTGGTCCATTATATTGCCTATCTGCTCAAGAGGTTGGTTCTCCATCTCCTGGATGACATTCCTCCTGTACAACCACCTGGCAGCAGGTACTTCCAGGGCTCTAGGTGGTGCTGGTAGGGAAGGGAGCGCCATGGTATCCGTTTCTCTCTGAAATGTCTCCACACTGGAGCGCTGAAGCAGTAACACGCTTCCTGCCATGATGTAAGCCACACCCAGAAAAAACAGGAGCAATTGAGCTCTCCTTAAAAAGGATGGCTTGGCCATCCTGGTTCAAACCATCCAGATGGATGTCAAACAAGATCCTTACACTTATACAGGACAACTGAAGAGAAGATGATACATTCTAGAAGGCGCTGTGATCTTCATATTTTAGAGAAGATTTAGCTCTTGGTGTCTACTAGTTCACAGGACCTAAAATAAATAGAAAAGGCCTGTCAGTATGAATACAAGATCAGATAATCAGATAAAAACACGTCCCTTCACAGATCTGAACCATAAATCTCTAACAACTCAAAGGAAAATATGTGAACCACTTGTCATATTTCTTCATAGAGGCTTCGCCCCTTTGGGGCTAATGAGCTGTTTTTGATGAATCAATAAGAGACCAATTACCATTTTCCCTTTTGATTTATTAAACATGTTTGGAAAACTGAAGAGAACCTGCTTGCAGAAACACGGGTGCGGTATGAAAACATCAACTGAAGGAATCGCTGAATTATGTCTCTTGGTCTTCATTTGTGCCTGGTGCTTTATGGGATGTGAGTTGTCTGTCCATCAGAGTGATAGGCTGGAAGACATTTCTGCCTGTGGGAGGAAAGAGCTGTCCATTCTGCTGAACTTCATATCACAGATCAAGAAGCTCATTCATATTGCAGAAAGAGAGAAGACATCCAGTGCAGATTCGTCAGTGTATAATAGCACAGCTTATAAAATAACTCAGTGTCTGAAGAAATCTGATGTTTTGCCAAAGCAATACTTTGCAACTGAAATCTTTTACCGTTTTTGATTAGTATAGCCTAACTCTTAGTAATATTTAGGATTCAATACATGCTCAGTCGTTGTGGTAATGTAGATTATCACATAAATTAATATCCACTTGTCCCTCCTTTAAAAAAAAAAAAAATCTGTTACAGTGACACACTTACAATGGAAGTGAATGGACCAAATTGTAAATGTTAAAATGCTCAATGTTGCAATAGTATGATTTTAGTGTGAAAAAAGTGTAAAGTTCCAATTTTTCCAACTTCATTGCCAGGACGACACAATTAACACTAAAATGTAAACACGTAAACGACTGTAAAAATGATGAACCTTTCAGCTCAAATAATACAAGTTTTATCAGAAGAAAGAATGTAATTGCTTATTTAACATTGTAAGCTTCACACATACTTTAATACTCCAAAAATTGGAACTAAGTATATAAAAGAAAGACACAAATGTTGTCAATTGAACTTAACTTATTTGTAGCAGGAATATTCCTTAAAATCCTAAAGGATGCAACAGCTATAGATAAATCATTTTGACAATGTTATCTCCTATGTAACAGATTTCCATCAGGACTCAAATAACAAATAACAGGCAACAACATATGGCATCGCTCTTTTAAATTCATCATCTGTACTGAAATGTTTGACACTTTGACACTTTTGTCTTGTAGAATCTGTGGAAAACGGCTTTTGCTTTGCGCTGAGAGGATTCTCTAGGAAAATGGCACTCGTTATGTGTCTGCAGCAGTCAGTTGTTCAGCCTAACATAGAAAATGAAATCATTTAGATGCTGATGGAAAAACCTTTCTCTTCATGATGGGAATGAGAGGTCTATTTGATCATCAACCTCCAAACAAATCAGCACATTATCAGGCAGAATTTACAAGGTTTCTCTCTCTCTCTCTCTCTCTCTCTCTCTCTCTCTCTCTCTCTCTCTCTCTCTCTCTCTCTCTCTCTCTCTCATCTTTTCTTTTGGTATAATTGCTCTTTTGCTTAATGCATCACTCAGCATTAGTATCAGAGATTATGCAAATTTAGTTTAAATGTAGTCTTGTGGTGAGGGGTTGTTTATCTCTGCAAAACTCTACATTTGTTTTTGCATGTTATCATAGCCTAAGGCATAAAATATAGTCAGCAAGACTGAATTTACAAGAGAAAAACGAAATGTTACAAAAGTCACTACGGTCATTTAAAATGCACTTTAATGTTAATAGGAGTAGTGGTTACATCAAACCAATGTCAAAACTTTTCAGACGCAAGCTGTCAATCATTTGAAAGGAAACAATTCCTGTAGTTTAATCTTTGAGTCCTCAGAGCGGGTTTCAGATCATTTGCCTGACGTTATCCTCAAAGGACAACATTTCCAAATACTCTTAGGCTACTGTACGATACAATTAAATTATGCATACGGCTGCGCTCAGATAAACGTCAGATATTATAAGAGTGTATAGCCTACTAAGATAAGACACGCTTAATTGTTACCTTACTTCTTACTTACCTCTGTTACTGTGGTTCCTCGGATCAGGTGCGGTTCAAACGGACGCGGATGTGTCCAGCAGCAGCTCACGCGCTTCCACTGAAGAGAGTCCGCTGATTCCTGACTGGATACTCCCACCGGCTCTTCCCCGCAGCTGAACGCTTTCTCTCGATTATAAAAGACTGTTTTCATCGCATGTTTTAACTGCTATTAACGGTTTTTTACATTTTCTGTAGTTTTGAACGACTTTGAACGTGTCTGTACTTACTGTTGTAGACGTTAGAGAGAAGTGAGCGAGAGTCGTGCCGAATATTAAAAACGGCGTTGTTGTTTTTCCTAAGCAGCGTGTAAAACACGGACTGACCTGACGCGTTCAGATGAGCGTATAGAGGAGCCGCTGCTGTCAGCGCTTTACACCCCACCCAAACTCTCTGCCCGAGAATTATAAAATAACTAGATTACTTAACACTCTATATCCTACTAATGTATATTAAGAATATTAACTAACAATATTAGCCTACATTTAAAATGCTACCCCCCCCCCCCCCCCCCACCAATTTCATGAGAATAATTGTGTTAAAAATAGGCTTAATTTTCTTTAAGCAAAATTGTTTTATTTAATTTTAATAATTTTTCTTCTTCTTCTGTGTTGTTTCTTCTCCTCAAACACTTAAATAGGCCTACTTGCAGATACTTCTCTGTGCAGCATTACACAGTTTGATTCATTTTTGATTTAATCACAGGCTGTCAAAATAAGCTTTATGCTTCCATTTTGTTTTTAAATGTGGATCATGAATAAATATTTTTATTTGGACATCCATGCAGATTTGCAATGCATCAGAGAGGTCCACTGATGGGCATTTGGTTTTTTGAGTTCCTCTGGCTACATAGATCAGGCACTATCTGTGCTGAGCAGAACAGAGGCTTTGTTTTTGTGGAGAGGAGCACATTCATCTGGGAAAAGCACACACACACACACACACACACAGAGAGAGAGAGAGAGAGAGAGAGAGAGACACACACACACACACACACACGCGCGCTAAAAAGAAAGAGACACAAGCACACTCATATTGAGATGAATTTTCTTGACATTGCAACATACCTAGAACAAATAACACAAACTGATGCTTTCTGTGCCCATTGACATTTAAATATCTGGCATAAGATGCCAGACAGTTGTTCCTCTATTCTATATACAATCCTGTCACAACCCTCCTGAATGGAATTTACAAACACCTTGAAACACCTGCCACATCCTGTTTGCAGACTTCTCTTCAGCTTTTACCATCCAGTCACATGTTGATATAGAGAAGCTGACAAACATGGGTGTAAACCTCACTCTTGTAAAGTGGATTCGGGACTTTTTAACAGGCAGACAACAGTATATGTGAGGAGGGCGGGTCACAGTCAGTGCCACAAAGATGTGTTTTATCACCATTGCTATTTTTTTATATACTAATGATTGTGTCAGCCACCATTCCAACTGTTCACTGATAAAGTTTGCAGATGATGCTGCCCTAGTCGGTTTTTTAACAGATAATGAACAGGACTGAGGTTGACCACTTCCATGAATGGTGCAATCAAAACTCAGTAATTTTAAACATTTCAAATGTCTTTCTGGGTCTTTCTGTCCAGAACAGGAACATGCTGGACAATGTGACTAAATGGGCATGCAGGAAAATTACTGGATCCGATGTTAAAAGCATCTCCAACCTCACAGATCAGTATACCCTCAATCTGGCTCTGAGGATACTGGATGATCCATCCCACCCACTTTGCTCAGAGTCCCAGACTCCCACTCCCACTCCCACTGCTCTGGGTGTGTGTGTGTCATGGTTTGCAGTGTGTCACTATTTCTAACCTGTGTGCACTAAAGTTGGATGGGTTAAATGCAGAGGACAAATTCTGAGTAGGGTTACCATACTTGGCCTTCACATGTCACTTTCACTTTCATTAAAATATTTGAGCATTAATGTTCCAAAGTCTTTTTTATTTTGTGCCATCACAACCAGTATGAATGTTTATTTCAGAATTTCCAACTGTCTCCACCACACAATTATATTCACTCAATACTGTTATAATATGTGAAAATCTTGTGTATTACTTCCATAAAACTGTCCTCAATGATATTTTGAGTCACTTTGAGCAACAGTCTGTATGAGTGAGTCATGTCCACTAGGGGCTTGTGTGCCTTGCGCTCGCTTTGTTAATCTGTTTTTGAGGTTTGTCCCTCAGGAACACTGACTGCAGAACAGTGCGCCATGTTTTCAAGTAATTATATTGCACTTATGTTCAGGGTCAGGGACCCATCGACAAATTGATTCGTTTTAGTCCTGGCGGCTGGACCCAGTGGGGAAAAACAGATTAAAATCTCTTGATGACCGCACTGCACACTTGAGGCACAAACCACAGATACGATCAGCTGCCCTGCACACCTGTCTGTGATGAGAGCCATCTACACCCTAACTGTCTGCAGGGCTCCAGACTAACATTTAAGAGCTGTAGCACCAGTGCCACTATAATTCTACAGATGGCACCAGCACCTGATCTGGTAGGTATATAAATAAAGGTAATTTAATCATAAAATTACTATTATTTTGCATTAATAAGTGCAGTAACTATATTAGGCCTACATGTTTATTTCTTGGAAATGCACATTTGACCGTAAAGCACTGAGTTTGAGTTCAGAGGCAGATAAAATTCACTTATATTAACAACAGTAACATATAAAAGCCTACTTTTAATAGGGAAAAAGTGTATTTTTATTTTTGATCATCCCTGTGATGATGAACCTGTGGGTTATCATCACATGAACACCAGTTCACAGTGTTATTGCATACATTGTTTTATTGTTTAATATGTTATCTTGTTTTCATA